AACTGGGTCGCTACATGCAAAAGAATGAAGCTTGACTACTACCTCACACCATACACAAAAAATCAACTCAAAATGGATTAAAGAACTAGACATAAGACCTGAAACCATAAAATATATAGAAGGAAATATAGGCGAAACACTACGTGATTTGCACATCAAAGACATCTTTACAGACACATCACCCAAAGCAGTGAAGGCAAAGATAAACAGCTGGGACTACATCAAATTAAAGAGCTTCTGCACAGCAAAAGAGACAATAACAAAAACAAAGAGAAACCCCACCAACTGGGAGAACATTTTTGCACCCAACACTAATGATAAAGGACTGATCACAAAAATCTGCAAAGAGCTGATGAGACTCAACAACAACAAAGAAAATAATCCAGTCAAAAAATGGGCAGAAGAGCTAAAAAGAAACTTCTCTGAAGAGGAAATGCAAATGGCCAACAGGCATATGAAAAAATGTTCAACATCACTTGTCATCAGGGAAATGCAAATCAAAACTACCATGAGATACCATCTTACACCAGTGAGAATGGCACATATTAAAAAAACTAGCAACAACAAATGTTGGCGAGGGCGCGGAGAAAAAGGAACTCTTCTGCACTGTTGGTGGGAGTGCAAACTGGTCCAACCACTGTGGAGAGCTGTGTGGAGATTTCTGGACCTACTAAACATAGAGCTTCCATATGACCCAGCAATTCCACTCCTAGGTATTTACCCAAAGGACACAGAAACATCCATTCCAAAGAACACCTGCACCCCTATGTTTATAGCAGCACTGTTTCCAATAGCTAAGCTTTGGAAACAACCCAAATGCCCAAAAATAGATGACTGGATCAAGAAGATGTGGTACATATATACCATGGAATATTACTCAGCATTCAAAAAAGATAACACATGCAATTTGCAGCAACATGGATGGTGCTGGAAGGGATCATGCTCAGCGAAATAAGCCAAAAAGAAAAAGAAAAATACCGGATGGTCTCACTCATAGCAGGAATCTAGAAAACTTAAATAAGGGACCAGGAAAATGAATAACTATAAGAAAGTGAAAATCAAAATCAACAAAAAACTATGAACCTGAGACACTTTTAGGGGGGTGGGGGCGGGAGGGGAGGGATTGGGGTCAGAATCGGGGGGCTGCAATTGTATGGGGAATATAAAAATAAAATTTATTATTTAAAAAAAAATATGTCTCAAAAGATGTGATCCTATACCTCTGTAACATACCAATGTTACCTCAAAAAGAAAAAAATAAAAACATACTTTTTGTTAAAAAAAAAATAAAAACACAAACTTGAAAAAATTTGTTAACTCATACTCTACTTCCTGAACACACAATGTCCACATTTCTTCAAAATTCCTATGTAATCTTTGAAACTATCGTTGAAAGAAATGAAGGGAAAAATTGTAAAAATATAGTAGTTAATGCACTCCCTTGCACAACCAAGAGGTGAAAGTAACATGATATGGTATCATCAGGTATACTAGGAAGATTTATTCTTGTCTTTGTTGGCAAAGGGAGCAATTTGTAACACATATTCATAAATAAGGCTTGAAAGAGCATTCCTTTCAAATTTTATCTGGAATACTGTCAAGTATGAGAGGAAAACCTAAATTGACTTTAGAAGAAAATTCATCAAGTTTTTAGTGTCTGCTTGAAATTCCAGAAAAATATCTTGCCTATAGTGTTGTTTCATTAGATCTCTTTTTTTAAAAAAAGAGAAAAAGCATTTAGCCTCAATGTTCTACTTCTGAATTCTTGCAATGCTGGTAGTGAATTGTGAATGGGCACTAAGCACTATCCAATTACTGACTACAGTGTCTTTTATGAAGATAAAACAGCAATGACCTTAATTGTCCCTTCATTTTTATAACTGTCTCCTTAACTCCATCCAGGGTTTTAACTCCTTAAGGTGTTAAGTTTAAGACTCTATAGAAAATATTTTCTGGAATGTAGAAATTCTAGTCTGTGGTTCTTTGCACACTTTGGATGAAAGGGCATCTTCTCTTTAAGGATTGAGAATTATACATGCATGTTCTTACTCTATATTGATTCTTATATTTTAAAGAAAAAGAATCACATCTCTGCAATACAAAAAGGGGTTAAAGATGATTTTTTTAGAATTCTCGATTGATCAAGGTACAGCAAGCTGAGTGATTGCCATAACAATGTTATGTCCACACTACAATTCCTAGACCCTGTGAATGGAATGTTATTTGGAAAAAGGATATTTGCACACTTATCATTTCTGGACACAAGATCATCTTGGATGTTGAAGTGAACCCTAAATTCAATGACAAGGATCCCCATAAGGGATACATAAAGTAGAAATATGCAGAGGAGGGAATGTGACCACAATCACAGATTGAGTGATACAGTCACAAAATGAGGACCAAATAGAAACCTGAAACTGGAAATGGATGGATTTTCTCCTAGAACCTTTGAAGGAATAAAGGCCCTGTTGACACTTTTTTTTTCAGCCTTTTGGCTTCCAAAAGTGCAAAAACAGTAGTGTTTTGAGGCACAAGTTTTGTGATAATTCATTACGGTAGCCACAGCAGGGCAGTAACCTACAAGACTGGTTCTAATTCTGATATTCCCCAACATCATATGGTGTACTTGCATTCTCTTCAATTAAAAATTCTTCAAATTGCTTTATTTATATTCTGTGCATTTTCCTGTATCTGCTGAATAACAAAAGAATGACAAATATTCCTTTCTCAGGTGTTCCACAGCTGCAAAGATGGCATCCCATTGTTAAGGAGTAGGTATTCTGTTTCCTCTTCTTCATCTCTCTAAATGACTGCCAGCAGTTATGACCTGCTTTCTGTTGTCTTCCCCATGACTCTGGCCCGCAAGCAAGGCTCCAGGTGCCTGTCTGTCCTCACATCATATTGTTCTCCCCTTCCCTTATTGGCCTCTGGCTCCAGTCATCTTCAGTGCTTCAAACCTCTTTCTACTACGTAGTTCTTTGCACTTATTTCCTCACTTTAGCCCTTCGCTTATCTTTGTGAAAACATTTTTTATTGAAGCAACATTGTATTATAACATTGAGTTTCAGGTGTGCAAACATTATAAATTAGGCATACAGATGTTATTGAACATTAAGTGACCATTAAGAATATTAAATTTACCACAGAAAGTCCAATTCTCTCCTTCAGATTGCATAAATCTTTTACTATCATTCCTTGAGAGTTCCTTCTGATTCTCTAGATACCAGCTTGCTTATAATCCCCTTAGATAGGTTGAGGTGATAAAGGGAAACCTTTCTAAAGTGAGCTTTTCCAGTTTTTTTTCCAATTTACCACTTTGAATACTTTTTTCCTTCTTACTACTGATATACCCTGTAGTTACGTTGCTCACTTAGCTATTTTCTAGTTTGTTAATGGTCTTTTCCATATGAGATTACAAATGCCATGAAGACAGAGATCAGTTTTGTCTGTTCATTTTTGTATTTACAGACCCTACTGTATTATTACTGAATTGGTGAAAGAATAAATGAGTGAATGGATAATGATATCAGAAAACACACTAATGCAGGATTGCCTTTCATTGACAGGTTGCATTATATTTTCAGGACTCTGTGTGTGTGTGGGTGGGTGGGTGTGCGCGCCCGCGCACTAATCCTAAGGGTTACTGTGTTTAAATTTTTTTCATCCCCCTACTTTCCTATAAAGCATGGGGTTGGGGATTTGGGAAATGGCTTGTTGCTATTGTGGGTTTAGATAGGCTGTCTGGGTTTTTACTCCAAGTATTTCTCAGTTCTTATTATAGAATTTATATAAAGCAGTACCACAACCAGGTGGGATATGAAACACATAGACAATAACAGATATTATATGTCATCCATGATTGTCTTTTAATGGTATCCATTTAGGAGTAATAAATGTTTCCTTGAAGTGGCAATGTGGAAAAACATTTGGAACCACTAGTAGTATGGCACAAGGAAAAGCTGTGTGGATTGGGTTACAGTTCAGGATCTATGACTGCTTAGCCATGAGCTCTGGGCAAGTCACCTATGCACTTGCTGGCTTTAAAGGTATGCCCTGTTGAAGTTTGAGTTGTGTTGAGATGTGTGTAGGAGTTCCAGTTCTTCAATTCTGACTCCAGCTAGAGAGAATCTGCTTTTATCTGATTATGTTAGTGAAGCAGTAAATATATTTTGATTTTTTACATCCATTAAATCATAACTTGTGATATTATAAAAAATTATGAATTCAGTATCTTAAATTATTAACTGAAAAACCTAGTCTGTACAAGGCACTCTGCTGGGTGCTAGCAACTGAAGATTGTGCAGAGTCCAGCTTGTAGACTGCTGTAACCATAATACAAGAAAATGGATATTAAAAGTTCCTAATAGTGATAAAAACATAGAACTATGACATTTAGAGGAAGGAGCTCTGAGAAAACATACATACTCACATGTGTGTGTGTGTATATATATATACACACACACACACACGTGCAATAGCATATGAACAGATACACTATAAGTTGCCAAGCAGTATTACATACGTCTGTACATATATATCATGTGCAAACTAGAAATAATAAGGCAAAAATGTGTTCAGTCAATATGTCTAGTTAATATATAGAACTTTCATCTCACATTCTGCTTTCCTATACCAAGGTGTTGCATGCTACTGATAGTTGAATGGTAGCTACATAACTGCTTACCCATTCATCATTATTTCTTATCAATGTGTTAGCATCTTTATACTTGGTAGTGCCGGCAGTGGTTGTGGTAAAACAGGAGATAAATTTGTCTCACGCTGCTTTGGTTATTAAATGGACACCCATTTCCCACTGCAAATCACAGCATGAGATTTAAGCACATGCCTTGAGTAGATTTATGATTTAACAAAGCAAATTTTAAAATTTCTGGATCAAGAAGGGATTTCAGTAATTTATTATAATAAGATCCAATAATGCATCAAATATAGTCAACACAAAGGTCCACAAAATAGTGAACTTTAAAGAGAGTTTTGTCCAACTTTTTATTTACCCAGCGGAGCACCTTCTGTATAAAGTACTCAATAATTTTCAATAGGAAAATCTCATCAGACATTTTGTAGGAAGTAAACCCCTTATTGATAGGAACTGGTAGTCCTGATAATAAATATCAACAATATTTTGACATCAAATTAGCAAAGATTAAATTTATCCCACAGGTTAAAATGCATATATGAAATCTTAAATTGTTGCAAAATGCCAGGATTTTACGATAAGCAATCAAGGCTAATGGCCCTGCAGTAAAGAATGGGATTAACAAAATCAAAGAAAACTGTTGAGTTTTGAAAATTCTTTGAAAAAAAAAATGGAAACACATTCTAAATTACATAACAGTGTTCATTACCTACATCAGCAGTTGGCTTTTTTTTTTTTTTTTTCCTGTAGATGACAGGAAAGTAATGTTTGGTTTTGTGAACCAGGTTATCTGTTGAGGGTGCCCAATGGTGCCATTGCACCTGTTGAGCAGAAATGACTGTGTGTACCAATGGGCAGAAAAATGGACTTGACACAAGGGACCATCTTTGCCAACCCCTGACCTGTATAGATTCTTGTAAAGAAATGTGCTTCTTCAGTGAAAATTGAAAGATTTTTTTTAATGGAGGTGTCATAAATATTTTTTCAGAAGAATCATTTTCAAATTCTCCATTCCATTGTTAAGTTTAAAAATTAAGTAAAATGGAGATGTTTAATTTACTATAGTAGTAATTGTTAAATGCAGCTTTTGAGCTGATATCACAACTTAACATGTGAACTTATTGTCATGTGGTGAATTTTACTTTCACAAACAAAAACCGAGTTTCTCCAGTGGACTCCAGTGGCCAAATTGTCTCCAGTGGACAATTACCAATGGATAATGGTGATTAGAGCTTATGATTATTAATAATTTTGTTAGATTGAGGTTTTAGAATATTTTTAGCATGGCAGGCTTATCAAATTAGGTCTTTGTTGAAGTTGGCAGAGTGAACCAACTTAATGATGAATTCAGGTAACTTAGGTAATTTAAACTATGAAGATGTGATTTACCTGAAACTAGTAAGTGTGAATTCACAGCTTAGATAAAATATAATTATATCCAACTCTTAAAAATATTGTCATGGCTCAAATGTAGACATTTACTGTTCTAAAATGACTGTATCTCCTACAATATGAGAGTTTTGTGGATTAGCAGAAAATAGCACTGAGAACACATTAAGAGACTGGTAACCAGTCCTAACTTACTAAAATTAACTAGATCTGTGCACATTGGGTGACTGAGACAAATTTACTCTTCCATGACACAGGAATAATAAAAGCACATTTACCTGTGCTTTGATAACATATTAGTAGGTATGAGAATACCTTGTAAATTATGAAAGAGATTTTTCTCTTGCAGTGCCAGGAAATGCTTTGTTTCTTTCTGGCAAGAGAAAGTTCTTCTTAAAGTAATTATTTAGTTAGGTTTGTGGTCTTTCCTCTCTTTAACAAATATCCCGAGGCATCTGTGTTTGAAATAGAAACATGATGCAATTGGATTCCACATACATATTTTCATCAATATTTTTCATAGGGGTCTTGCTACTAAGTATGCAGTAGAGGGGACGAAAATCACAACAGGCAACTTTATTTGTAGAACTTGATCCAAAAATCAAGAAAAAAATAAAAGGAGCTGAATCCCTTATGTTAGTACAGAAAATAAACCGAAAAGTACGTCAACATTTACCATGAGGTCATTTAAATGGGTTTGCAAATGATAAGGGAAACGTGTGATTTACAACACGGGAAACTTCTTTTAACAACCATAGACTTAAATGCACTGCACTGTAGGTTACCTAGACTAGGTTAGCAAGAATGAGCAAAATGATAGGTCCGAAAGGCAACCTCCGCACACCTTCCTCAGATGGAGACTTTGGTAATTGTCCATGGTAGAAAATATCAATTCCTGTTCTTCTCATGTTGGATGGTCATTTTCTCCATTTTTCTCCCACAATGAGTCCATTTTAAATACTTCAGTTATTATGAAGACACTCCAAATCCACCGAACAGCAGACACTCCCATTCTGCACATGAAGACACAAGCAATAGCCCAACTGAGACCCGGAATATAAATCAATGATCAGGGGGCAATTCTTTTATTCAAAATGACCATCTACATTTTGAGACAATCTATGAACACTGCAGAAAAATTGACAAATCCTCCTTTTCTAGTATTATGAGACGCTCTAGGGACCCACTTGCTAAGTTCGTCCAGGCAGTGCTAGTCCATGTCTGAGCTCAAACTACATTTGGGACTCCTTTGTATTTCCAAATTTTCACACAATTTGCTCATTGAACATATTTCAAATAATATTTTTATAAATCCCTGAAATATAAGATGCCATTCGTAAGGATAATCAAACGTACAACACAAATCCAAAATGATTTCCAGAAAGATTAACTTATTAGGGAAAAATTCTAATCTCATAGTGACTATAAGGGGCCAGTCCATATTTAGGTACCAAAACAGTTGGAAATTCGGAAAATGAATTATACTTTAGTGTAAAGATACCTTTGTCATCCTATTAACTGAATAGCAAACCTGATCTTAAATAAATGTCTTCCACATCTAGGCATTTTGTTTGCTGGGGCTGAAGACTGACATGGGGCGAGGACTCCTTGGCTATATGAAGTTGGCTGTTAGCCTTTATATATTGGGGCTGCAGCTTAAGATGGTACTTTCCAGAAAAGAGTAAACAATTCACATTTGTCACAGCATAAAAAGACAATTTGGAGACCTTGAGTGAGGCAGGGTTTGATGGAAACAAATATACTATTATTTTTTTTAAAGATTTATTTATTTATTTATACAAGCACTGGGTACAGTCAGAAGTGCGGGAGGGTGAGAGAATTCACCGGAGCCAGAGGGGAGAGCAGAGCTGGCAGACTGATGAAGTACACTGCTGAGGGGAGCAGCGGGCGCGGCAGGAGAGGTCTGTGCGCCATGTGGGACCCTCACCTGGTGGCCGGGGATCGAACCGGTGCTGCAGAGACTGCAGGCGGCTTCTCAACCCAGCGTTCAACCGCAGCGCCACCCGGGGAGGCCCTATACTATTAATTTTTAATGTGCGTAATCATGGACATCCCAAAATAGATGTTTCTGTTTCTTGGCAGAGCTTTTAAGAAAGGAAGAGGTCAGTCTTTACTTTTAAAAATATGTGAGGAAGCTTTGTGGGAACTCCTCCAAATAGACAGGAAAGTAGTCACAATTAATTAAATCCTGCAGCAAGAGCTTCAGGTCCTTGTATTAGGCACCATGAAAATTAACAAAGCAAACAACTTCATAGAGCATTTGGTTTTCAAACACTGTATGAGCATACACTTTTTTCCAGGATGAAAGGAGGATTTTTTGGTAATATTTAGGTCAAAATAACTGATGTCAGCCACAGTGGAACCTAGTGTCAATTGTAAAATGCTGTGGTTTAAAGGGAAGAGAGAGGACTATCTTATTCCATGTTTATTTGGAATTTGCTGCTATACAAGGTGCAGCTCTGATCTTTTCAGACATAGTAACCTCCTCCTTTCTGACCCTGTGAGAAGTAATTGCCAACCTGCATCTCCCCAGACGCCATGGAACACGTGCATTTAGAGATGTCAGGAGTGGACCTACTGAATGTTCTGACAATTGCTCAAGGCCTGATTATCCTCAGGACATCCAATTACCTTGCATTTGCAGGTTGTGCAGGGAGATCCAGCCATTGTCCACACTGAGCCGCTAAGCCGTGAAACACCATAGCTGTCCAGGCAAGTTTTTCTGATGTCATAGGCAATGTTATCAGCCAGGCAGGGGTCACTGACACAGCGGGGACAACACTCCCCTTCTGAGATGGCTGTGTACTCACAGCTCAAACTGGGGCAGCTGAGTGGCCAGCAGTCTACCTCTCCTTCCTGTGGAGAGCAAGTAAAAAATGCCTCATTATTGTTTTTATGTGCAATTCTGCTCCCAAATCCCACAGGGGTAATGAGGATAGAGAATTCTCATCACTGCCCTCACTGAATGGTCCTATAATGCACTTCTTCCTTAAGGACTCACTACAGGTTTCACCTCCTCCAGGCTGCTTCTGCTGTCTATTTTGGCTGCAGCCCCATCACTCTGTGCCAATGGCAGTGAATATTTTTTTTTTTTTTACCATTATAGTTAGGGTCCTTAAAATTATTATTATATCCACAAGTTTTGAGTTTTCAGGATTTTGACTTGTCTCTTTATGCTTAACATAGCACTGGTCAAGAAATGCTAATCAAATGAACATATAAATAAGTAGTAGGATACTGGTTAGTGTATAAAAATAGGAGTAATTAAAGTCCAAGGAGAACTGGAAACACTATTTTAACAATATCATAAACCAACTTGTCATTATAAAATTGAAGTTGAGACTGGACAATATAAGAACTATTTCAGAACTAGGGGACTTTATATATTTCAACTGGGGTCCCACATGTCCAGGAATCTGAGTATATGCAGCACATAGAGGCACAGTGACCAAATTGTTTCCATATATAACCTTTCCTTCTAATATGACATTCATTATAATTCATGCAAATTCATGTTAATTTATTCAGTCAGTTTCACAAGACTATGGCCTTTGGTCAGTTTCACATTAGACCATGTCTCTTTTGCTTAGAGCCATTATATTATCCAGAGTCTGGCATGTGCAAACACTTAATAAATATTTATTAAACATGACCCACATTATTCTCAAGTAATTATTAAGTTACATGTTCCACAGCTTAAGTTTTCCCAGGAACTATTAACTGTAGGCAGTGGGGATGGGAGAGGATATGTTTTTGAAATTCTATGAAAATTTTTGGTCCACAATTAATACCTCTTCTTCTGAATGAGTGATAATTGGCTTCTAGAAAAAAGGAATGGAATTTTCCAGACTGATGGAGAAACCAACTCTACAGTTGTGTTGGACTGTTTCTCCTTGGAGGGAATTTGAAAACAGGGCTATGATTTGAATTTCTGAGTTAATACTCCTTAGCATGAGGAGTGATTAAGGACATATCTGTTAATATTATTTGGACATTCACTTGGAAAAGTTAGAAATTCTGATAGAAACTTAAAACAATTTCTCTGAATGCTTATTTTCATCCCTAGATGGTCATTATTTCAGCAAATGTTAGACTACGAAACCCAGAAAGTGGTTTCCTTTACAAGCTTACTTAAGACTCAGGTTGAATAGCTGACTTTTGAGGAAGTCAAAGTCATATTCACTATCTGAATATGTATCCCAACAGTCTTCATATCCTTCGAAATCTTTGTGGTATAATTTGAAACAGAAATAATCAGATCTTAAGATTTTTTTTTTAAAGATTTATTTATTTATACAAGCACTGGGTACAGTCAGAAGCGCGGGAGGGTGAGAGAATTCACCAGAGCCAGAGCGGGGAGCAGAGCAGGCAGAAGGACCGAAGTACACTGCTGAGGGGAGCAGCGGGCGGCAGGAGAGGTCTGCGCGCCATGCGGGACCCTCCTCCAGTGGCCGGGGAGCAGCCGGGGATTGAACCGGCGCTGCAGAGGCTGCGGGCAGCTTCAGCAACCCAGCGCTCAACCGCTGCGCCACCGGGGAGGCCCAGATCTTAAGATTTTTTTTATGGACATTTTCAAATCTGATTATACCAGTAATGTCTATATAGTATGATACAAAATAACCTTCACTTTTTCTATGAAAATATTTAACATCTGAAACAGATTTTTCAATGTAGGAGATATTAGCAATACTAGTTAGTGATCATTAAATACCTTCATGTGCCAAACACTGTATCAATCACATGTATTCTTTAATCTTTATACCAGTTCTATGAAATAGGAACTCATCTATTTGAGGGGAAAATGATCAATGAAATGCTAGTACTTAGAGTCAAGTCTTTTCGTTCAAGCACAACAAGTGCCATTCGAGACCTTGAGAGCTTCCTATCAGGCAGAGATTTTTCTTGACCTGTATTTGCTAAAAAGGAGCAGTTATAAACTAACATTAATGGGGCAGATTTGACCTGTTATATGTGCTTTTTGTCTTGCACATTGTTTCAGAGAGAAACTGGATGTCTTCAGGCAGAGCATGTATACCCCTTAGTTAGTCACGGGGACCACAACTGCCTGGGATCACACAGCAGGGAGCTGAAGCCCATCAGCATCTCAATTTGTAACCTGCTCTAGAGTAATTGGACAGCACCCTCTAAAGCGGGCTGACATACCAGACACCGGCACTGCTGGCAGCTGTGAGTCCAATTGTCTCCACTTCGATAGAGCTTGTGTTCATTTTGATCTAAACATTGACTTGTGACCCTGGTGTCACACTCTGGGCAACAGAAAAGGTCAACACTTGGATTCTGGCAATCACAAGCAGTCCGTCGGCAGAATATCTTCCCATCCTGTTAGAAATGAGGTTAAGGAGGTTTCATCATTAGGGAAGTAAGGTAGCCACACTAAGAAAAGCAAACTGTATAAACAGAGCACATAGGAGAGAGTCCTTGGCGTGAAAGCACTCCCCTGTATCCCATTTTGTTCAAAAGAGATACACATGTGGGTGCTAAAATATACATAGCTTTTCTTCCCCTGACCTTCACTGCAGAGCAGGCTGAGTAAAAATGGATACATTTCTAAATTGGGGGAAAAAAGTAAATATGTCCTTTGAAAACACATTTTCAACCCAAAATGTTTTCTAAAACTCCTATTTCTTTTTTAAAGCTTGATTGATTTTTTTGCATAGAAGAACTGCGGGGGTTGGGGGGGTGAGAGGATTCACCAGAAACAGAGTGGGGAGCAGAACAGGCAGACTGACCAAAATACAATGCTGAGGGGAGCAGCGGGCGTGCCAGGAGAGGTCTGCTGTGACATGTGGGTTAGCTCTCTGGTCAGGAATTGAACTCAGGCCATAGAGGCGGTAGAACTGAGACTTGACCTGTAGGCTACCAGGGAGGCCCTAAAACCCATATGTCTAAGTAGCAATTATAACTAAACTAAGTAGTTAAAAAGGTGCATGTGATCAAGAATTCTTTTGAGTAGAAATTTGTGTTCTGTACTTTTCCTAGTTCTTAGATACCGTCCCGACACATTCAAAAGCATTTATCTCATTTTATCTTTGTCTCAACTTTGGGAGGAAATCAAACTATGTCCCTATTACAGAAGAATTCATTGAGGCCCAGGAAGGCTAACTGATATGTAGTGAAATGGAAGGCATGGTGTCAAAGCAATTTTTTTTTCCCTATGAGACACCCTTTAAGTTGTATATTATCAGGGACTATAATTAGGGACCATCTTTCACACTGAAGCAGTTTCTCTAATGATAAGTACAGTACAATTTTTGGAGTATTGGCTCTGTTCACTCATAATGAATCAAAGTTAAAACCTTAAGGCTGGGCATTTGGCAGCAGACCTTCCCTTATATATCTTTTGCTCAGAGTAACTTCTCATCTCAGACGACAAGTCTTGCTGAACACTTACATAAGCCCAAGAACCTCAGGGTCAGAAGAAACCATAAAGTACACATCAGCCATGCCTGTATACATCTTGAATCGTCTCTAGAACAACCAAAGTCACCAAGTCTGTGATTAAAGCTCTTCACTCTGTAAGAACTCACCACCATAGGAAGTATACTGTCACATTTCACCTCTTTCACTTTCAGAAGCCAGCCCTTCCTTGTTCCCACTGAATCATCTCATCTGGATTAAATATCTCTACTGTTTTGACCAGTGCCCACACCCACAGGTTTGCATCCTTTTATGGTTATAGTTGCCCTCTCTTGCAACAGTCTTGAATATTTTCAGCCATCATCATTGTGCAAGTATGTTATGCACACTACCACATTTAATCCTGGTAATTTGGTGGAATAGAAATTTACAAGTCCATTTCTCAATTAGGTAGCTGAGTTAGAAAATCAAATACACCACTGAGCCTGTCTAACACTGCTATGACTCTGAACTCAGGAACTCAGGGTCCCCTTAGTTCTAAGTACTGCACTTTCTTTATAGAACCGGATTTCAATATGCACTTCTGGCATATCATAGCGTTGACTTATATTGAGTTTAAAGAGACTGAAACTTCATTAAGCCCGTTTGCATCTTGGAAAGTTAGATGTTGAAAGCAGCAAGTGCAAAGCTGGTGTATTATCCCTGTATTGATCCCTCAGCAGAGTCTACAGGACATGCAGTTGGTGAGTACTGGCGCAGCAGCCATGCCTCTTGCCTCTGAGAGGCTCCTGTTTTAGCATTCTTGAGCCTCAGCTGCCTCCTCCCTGCCTGCTATTCCATGCCGTTCCCTTCACACCTGGTACCAGCATTACTGCATGTGTGCCCACTGCTCGCCCTTATCACTTGGTGAGCCACACAGAACAACTCTGAAAGCCGACCCTAGCACACCACACTCACACCGCACACTCTACGCACACTCTACCCACACTCTCTACACGCACGCACACACTCACTCTACACGCACACTCTACCACTCTGGCAGCGGACAGCAAAGCAGGTCCGCCGCGCTTTGAGTGAGGCTCCCTGGCCGGGGCTCGAACTCATGCCGTTGTATTGATAGCGCTGAGCCTTAAACCCCCTAGGGCACCAGGGAGGCCTCCGACCTGCAGTGGTTCAAAACCACTATTAAGGAGCTTGAAGCTGACGCAAGAGGCCTAAGTAAGACTGGAAGGACCTGTAAAACAAGCTCCTTAAGACCAGCTGCCCCTAATCTGCTACATGGACCCATCAACACACACTTCACTAATCCTTCACTTCTGTTTCAGGATGGAAATCACAAAACTGTGCAAACACTTTTTAAATACTTACTGTAGGCCTAGTTTGGGAAAGATCACGATCTCTGTGTCCCATAAAGTATTATTTTATGAATCTGAGACACCACTTTAAAATGCCGTAACTTGAAGTTTGCAAACATGAACTTTCTTTGTATACAACAATGGGGGGGGTGTGTGTAGAGGAAGCCCCATGAACTATACTGAACCTATAACCCTAAAATAGACACTGTTGTAAGCCAAGGATACCTCAATAATAAATGTAATATTAAAAAAAGAAACAAAAAACCATTGGCATTCCATTTCATCTCTCTTGCTTGTGACAACATTTTTCCAAGTGTTTTGATGCTATCCACCTTCTGTGCACCTACACAGCTTAGTGACATCTACAAATTTGATGGACCTGCCCTCAGGGTCTTCATCTACATCATCAATAGCAAGCTCTATCTTAGTAAACTTATCTCAACAAAGTTGAATGTCAGCTAGGTGGGTGCTAGAGGGTGAGGTAAAAAGTATCAGGCTTTTCTGCCCTCCCGCCATTAGGATAGATGAGGGAACCCTGCGGTCCTGAATGCATGCCTGATGGCGGGCACCTGGAGGAGGGTGTGGGCCTAGGTAGATGGGATTCACCTGGGCTGAGACTGGGCTTTTAAGGGCCATGTCACGGGGATGGCGGGAGAAGCCAAGAGGAGAAGCAGAGATAATGTGAGAGAAGGCCAGAGAGCCCAGAAAGAGTGAAGACTTGCTGAGGGCTGGGAGGCCTGCCAGCCTCCTGGCTCCACCCCCCCCTCCACCCCCCCCCGCCCCGCCCCGCCTCCCAGCACCCCTGCCTGCCGTGTACCTGGTAAATCCCAATAAAAGCCTGAAAAGCCACTGAGGGCTCCAGGACTCTCTCCTCCTTTACCCCCTCTTCTGGATCAGAAAACCTGCACTGTGGCCTTCCTGTCCTGCCCCGAAGTATTAAAAAAAAAAAAAACTCACATGCCTGAATTCCAAGGCCAGTTGGAAGACTTGTTGCTTATACTGTGTACCTTGACTAATGTGTACCTTGACGTCCTCATTTGTAAAATGATACTAGTAATAGTAGCATGCCCGATAACAATAATGCAGAAATAACCTTGTCATGTTACTCTTAGGATTACATAAGTTAATATAGGTAGAATTTAGAACAGTACCTGGCATGCAGTAAATGTTCAGTTCATGTGAAAAAGTTGAACTCTTTAAAGGCTTGATTCTTTATGGAGAATGGAAAAGAGACATGCTGACTACACACATACATATAATAACTCCATAGGCTGAAAAATGCTTTCCCTCAAATCTATTACTATACGAAATGACCCGAAAAATTCCAAAACATCAAGGGATGAAATATTAAACATGTATGTCTATGTACATAGGTACACACATGCACATGAGGATATGCATGTTGACAAGGACTCTAGAGTTAAGTAGGTGAATTGAGTCAGAGAATTCAGCTATTTTGGAAAAAGTATTCAGACCCTAGGAATCTTCCAACTACAGGTCTTTGGTTTACAGCTCTATCCCACTATTTTAACTCACTAATACATTTGCTTATGTAACACTAGTTACATAACACCTTGGGAATTTATTTTAACCAGTGGAAGTGAAGAAAACTAATGATATTCAACACTTAAAAAATCCACATAGCGAGGTCCGTGAATAGCATCAAACACAGGGATAGATTCTGTTATAAGAGGCTACTGTACAACAGGCAATGAGACCCAATCAGAATGTCTCCCCAAGTGCTGATTAAAAGAATGAATAAGGGTAAGTGGATAGCCTCCAGGGTTAGTACAAAATAAAGCAATTTCACATCTCATCAATTATGTGAAAATGCCAAATAAGCCTCTCTTAGTTTCTAACATGTTTCAGAACAATGGCTGTGTTCACTTTGGCTTTTGAATTACAGGGCTACTGTCAAGAAAATAATTTTTAATAATGAAAATGTCACAGGTGGCTCCATTAATTCAATGAGAAGGCCATTATAAAACCCCAGCTCACAGAGCACAGCCACACTAGATTTCAAATGTGGTAAAAGAATGGAGACCACGGACAGTGAGTAATACTTTTTGCCATAAATCTCCAGGGTCATTCCAAGAGCTTGAGCTCTAAACCCCAGCTGGGGTGTTCAGAACATTCCAAATTACCTGCCAAAAATGTATCTCTCCACCCTTCTGCTATAGAAATTAAATGTTTTCATGAAGTTTTATGATGAAAGTTCAGTTAAATTTTAACTGTTTACAGTTAATAAGTATTACAATATTTAAATTGTTTCTGAATTTTAAGAAGCAGGGTCACACACTTTCTTAGCAAATAAAAAATGAGTTAGTTCTTTTTATGCCATGGAAAGTTATGGGTTTTATACTATAAATTACACAGTTTATTACTGAATAGTCAAAACAATGATACACTTACTCCCTATTGTATATAACTATTTTTCTTTCTGCCAGAGTTTCAAAACTTTTAAATCAAGAAGGTGGACTTAGGCAAGACTACTGGTGTAAAGTGAATAGTAATATAAACCAGAATTTGGCAAATTAATGCCCCCATTCTAAATCAGGCCAGTCGCCTGTTTCTCTCATCCATTCACATAGTGCCTATGGTTGCCTGCACACTACAATGTCAGATTTGCATGAGACAGCGACCCTACAGCATACAGAGCCTGTCTGGCTCTTCACAAAAAGTACTCTGATCCCTCATATAGTGTATGAAATTAGAGGTGGTATTCTAGATCTGCTTATTCCATGTTCATATAAAATTTGGATGTGATCTTCATTCTTTTCACACAGTGTTGAATCTCATCTTCAGGTTATAACTCACAAACTAGTTGGTTATTCTTCTCTAATTATCACCTGGGGTACAAAAACTTAAGTATTGAATCCAACTACTTCATTTTAATGACAAGGACTTTTCCACATAGCACATAAAAGAACTAGACTCCAATCTAGACTTTTATAAGAAAGAATTTCCCCTCTGCTAACTCCGTAAAGCATGATTTTGGTAAGACTATAGGAAAAACAGACTTCAGACAGATGGAGATGGGGATTCTTGGGGCAGAGCTTCTCAAAGGACAGTCCTCTGACCAGCAGCATTAGAATCTCCTGGGAACCACGTAGAAATGCAAATTGTTGCGGCCCAACCCAGCCCTACCAAACCAGAAAGTCTGGTAGTACAGTCAGTGATCACAGATTCCCAAGCCTTCCAAGTGATTCATTCTGATGCCAGGGGAAGTCTGAGAACCACTAATGGAGAAACAAAGTAAGGTAGACAATTGGGAAATTAGAATGGCAGAACCCACAAACTCCTGCAATGAAAACGCAGGGTTGGGAACAGTAAGAGAATGAAGTCTAGGACTAGAACTGGAAAACGAGATCCATGACAACATTTTAGAGCTTTTAGGGCAAGACTCAATCAGCTGACATGTACATCTTTCGAAGGCAGTCCTAAAGAATCTGAGGTGTCAAGTAGTCGAATCCTGTTATCAAGAATACCCTAGAATAATGCTACTGTTTAGTTCAAAAATTAAAGCGTTTTTATAAGTAGATTGCTGGAATCCAGAAAGCTAATTTCTGCTCTGCTCCCTGGCACAGTCTCACTCCATGCTGCTGTTCTCTCTGAGGGCCATGCTGAAGATGGTAGACAGATTTTACTGTCACCTCCCTGCAGATTTGGTGAGTCTATTCTTGCCTGAAGGAAACAAGGGGACCCTCTAGGTTTCCCTACTCTGAATATCTTCCGCAGTCTGGGGAAGGCTAAAATAAGGTCAGGTCAAATGGCCTGCATCCCAGACAATCCATGACAAATGTCTTTTGCACTTTGCCCTCCCGTTTCACCGATACATTAACTAGGCCCTGACATTATTATAACTTTGTGAGTGGTTGTGTGTTTATGTTATCCATTTCCCCACCCAGTGGCATAATTTCTAGGAAAACTCCCAGGCTTTCTCTCCTGGCTCATTACCACCTATATGTTCCCCATCATCTTGTTCTCCTGATGATCTAATCTCACCCTTATTTCATATTTCCCTGAAAATACTATGTATTTAGTGTTTCTACATCTGTCCCCTCCATTCCCTTTATTTGGATTCACTATCCCCACATCTCTTCTGGACTTTATTTCTCATCTATTAAGTCTTATATAATGGTCACCTCTTTTTGTGAAGTCTTTCCTTATACTTTCTGAATCTCCGCAGAATGAAGCCTACTTCTATTTCCACAACAAACTGGTCATCACTAGATCCTGTATTAAGAGGCTGTATGTATTTCCTACCCATCTCCATGATCACTGACATAAGCACAACCACTCATGCTAAAGTTATAATTTCCTAGAAACAATAAACCTGAGATGTCTCTATTTTCCCAGATAGCACACGTAGAAAATATGAGTGCTTTCTTAAGGCCCTGGACTAATTTATGAATGAAGGAGCCACAGACGGGTATCTATGAAAAGAAGTCAAGTTGTAACTAAGATTTAGGGATCAATTCCAGAGAGATGACCATTTTTCACTGTGGGTTTCTATGGTCTGGTAATAGAGAGATATGCGTTCCAAGCAGTTCAGCAATCATTCTGTGCCTAATCAACTAACTGCTATAAAAGTTCATAAAATTATTGTCACTGTCAAGGAGCATACAGCACCTAGTGAGAAGCCCAGATCAGTTTGTACTAGCAGCATAGCCTTATCATTGATCCTCTTTCAACTGTCAACATGTTTCAAGGAGTCTTTCATTTGGCAGGAGATACTAGAAGCTAATCTGGTGCATTAACTGGAATATGGCCTCTTAGAAGAACTCTGAGTTTTCAACATTAACCTTTGACCCTTTGTTGCCTAATGTGATTCTGCCATTGTATGATTTGGTTTTATTTGAACTTCAAACAGAGAATAAACTTCTAGGGAATGATGTTTCAAAGAGCCATTATCTTAAATCCCTACCTTGACTTTACTTATTAACCTGCGAGATGATGCCATTATAATAGTTCATTCTGAGGCTTAATTAATTGAGATATTACTTATTAAACTGGGCTAGAACATTTTCATCTACAAATAAAGGGAAAACATGCAGATCACCAGTACATTCCTTTTTTTTTTTTTTTTTTTTTTGAGGATGACCTACAGAATTTAATTCTGGTTCTTACTTTAGCTCCTAAAACAGGGCCCTCCTCCTTACCCCCACTCCCCTACAATATTTGGAGGCTGTGCTATTATGGAACAATGCATGCAAGCGGAAAAAAAAATAAGTGCTTCCATGCCCATTGGAGGTGTGACAGACTTGAAGGCAGGAGAACGAACTGGATTACTTTTTTAAGGTTCATTTCCACTCTGTTTCTAGGGAGCACCCGGGAATGTATCGGGAGATTCAGTTCACGAAGAGGTTACTAAGCAAGCAATTCCCCTTGGTTCCCATGCCTATAAAGCCTAAGATTAAACAGTTCCATCGCAGTCGACATAAAAATACAATGCAAGAGCTTCAGTAGAGTAATATCAAAGGAAAATGAATAGGCAAGATCAACAAAAGAAGAAATAAAACACAAGGAAATCAAACACTTTAATAGGCCCATTTTGCAAAGCATAAAGCAAAACGGGGTGATGGCAGAATTTCATTTTCATAAGCATTAAATTTACTCCCAAACAACTTAATGTAAGGAATAGCCCAGCACAGAGAATGACAAACACATCATTTACCAGAGGCCTTATGCTATTATCATCATTTAATCTAAATGGAAGTCCACCTGTCTGACCACTGGAAGCAGGTCTCTAAGTCTTGCTATCATGGATGATGTCACCACAAAAGTGAGAAACTTTATTCCAGTGCTAATTTCAGGCAAAAAGTAGTTTTAATCAGCAAGTTTGTGTAAGTGTGGGTGAGTGCTCATTAAAGTGCTCAACCAACAAGCCTTGGAGGCACTGTGGGCTCTCATTGGGAGAACTCTCGGTGGCTTCTCTGCCCTGCTTCCCCTCTGCTCTGCAGTCAGTCTTTAACCCCATACCTCACATTTTGCTACGAGCACAATCAATTCGAAGCAGGTTTGTCAGCCACTCAGCATCATCATTAGCTGTAGTGTAGGTGAGAACAGGAAAAGCCTTTTTAGGAACTACAGGAGCTACATGAGTCAACAACTTGGGAGAAAGGTGAAGGCAGGGAGAAACCAAACAGCTATAACTTCTCTGGCACCCTCTTACCTTGCAGGAGCAGACAGAACACCTGTCTTCTTTCAGGGTCCACACTTGCCCGTTGTGCTTCAATCCTCCTTCATGGGGACAGTCACCAGAGCAAGAGGGCCCAGAGGGACAGAGGCAGTCAAAGCCCCCCGCCAGGTTGATGCAGGCAGAATCATTCCAACAGGTATGCGTTCTTAAGGCACATTCATCAATGTCTGCAATAAAACAAGCACAGAGCTTTAGAATCTAGCCAAGATTATTGCTAGAAAATAAGCATTTACAACAGCATTAGTACCTTGAGCCCGGTATTGTGCCAAGCTGTCCACAGGCATTCACTTTGCAAAACAGCCCTGTAGAGCAGGATCTGTTATTATGTCTATTTTGTAAATAATGGTGCTGAGGCTAATAGAAGTTAAATAACATGCCCAGTATCATAGAGTTAAAAAAAAAAAAAAAGGCAGGTTTGATAGCTGTCAGACTCCAAATGTTAAATTACCCAGTAGCAACTCTAAACTGGCTTGAGGATATTATCCAAATCTGTAACGGCCAGATGCCATGAACACGTTAATTCATTAACAGTGTAGCTACACCTCATGGAGGTCTGGGTCTTTTAAAAAAGGTGCGAATAGGTTAGCCACTGAGTAGGAACATGTGGCAATTAGGACAACCCTGAGCCAATTAGACTGCCCCCAGGGGCGGAAGTTGAAAGAAGGTGGCATAATTCTTACCACCCTAATGGCTAGCAGCCCATGCAAGAAAACAACTCAGAGTTGCAGTAGAGTATGGCATGGATGCTGATGAAAGACACCGGTATTCTGCTGTTCTTCACCAACAGGAAATAAGGCAGGAAAATATATATCTAGTCAACTTTCCCTGACACTCAGAGCTTGAGTGACCTTAACAACACCGTAAACACACAGCCCCTCTGCTCTGGCTTGCTCTCCTTTCCACTGGAGTCGGATACGTCCCAAGGCAGTCAGTTCTATCTTTGAATAACCCTTAAGACATTTCTTCCTCAGACAGAAATGAAATATACTTTCTAGTAACTTCTACTTTTCGGTACTAGTTCTGAGATCACTTAAAGTCTACTTGATTTTTTTTTTTTATTTCTGATCTTTAAACTATCTGATGACATTGGCCATTGTCTGTCAGTCTTCTCCACCGATGATTGCTCTGCTCTCTGAACATGCTTTCATATGACATTAATTGTAAATTTTTTCAACTTCAAGGAGGAGTATATCTATAAAACTGTTGGTAGGGTACTTTTTCTATGTCTTAAATTTCATATTAAATATGTATAATATTGTAGGCATGTGACTAAGGATTATGGAACTAAATTAAACAACAAAAACCATTATAAATAACATTCCTAATGTGCTCAAATTATATCAGTATTGCTACTACTTTTATTTGTCTATATTTAAAAATTTATCAATGCCCTTTTTAATGCATTGCACCAACTTCTACAGAATAAACTAAAACACACAGAGCTTCAGTGGTCACACCTCTACTATGTGCTAGAGCAAAGACTGTGTCCTTGGCCCCAATATTTTCCCTCTATATAAATTCTCTTTTTTTTAAAAAAAGGTTTATTTATTTATACATACATACATACATACAGACAGACAGACAGACAGACAAGCACTGGGTACAGTCAGAAGTGCGGGAGGGTGAGAGAATTCACCAGAGCCAGAGTGGGGAACAGAACAGGCAGACTGACGAAATACGCTGTGGAGGGAGCAGTGGCCATGGCAAAAGAGGTCTGTCGCGCCATGTGGGACCCTCGCCAGTGCCCAGGGATCCAACCGGCACAGCAGAGGCCGCGGGCAGCCTCACAGCCCAGCGCTCAACCGCTGTGCCACCAGCGGAGGCCCTCTATCCAATTTCTTGCCAACTAAAAGTAATATAGGCTGTAGGAGTAACAAGGAATGTTGGAAATAAAGTTCTTCCATTTAATTGAGTGCTTACTATATGCAGGTTATTTCAATATCACATTGTATGAAACCATACCCATCTAATCTATGATCTTTTGAATCTAAAAAGGGAAATAGCATGATAATGACTCAATAAATGTTCTTGATACAATGAGCATATTTTTTGAATTTGAGAACTTTTCATTATTTTAACTAAGAAAATTGCACTTTAAAAGATATAACTGAGCCACATTTATAAAAGGAAAAATGTGACTGAATAAGCAAACTCAAAGTTTGATTGTTTGTTAGCTAGACTCAAATTGAAAGTAATCACAGAATCTCTGGCTTGAGTTTTATTTGTTTGACTTTTGCTAGACTGTTTAAGTCATGATAATGAAAGTAAATATTTAAGATGAAGTTAAAGCCCTGATTTCATATTTTAAAATATCTGAGTTGTATTACATATACACACATACCACGTCTTTATAATCCACTCTTTTCTTAGGCACTTAGATTGTTTTCATAACTTGGCTATTGTAAACAATCTATAATGAATACAGGGGCCCATGTATCCCTTTGAATTAGAGTTTTTGCATTCTTCAGGTTGTTAACTCGATTGCTGGATCACATGATAGATCTATTTTTGAGAGACCTTCATACTGTTTTCCTTAGGGTCTGGACTAGTTTACACATTCCCGCCAACACTGTAGGAGGATTTCTTTCATTCTATATCCTCATCTACATTTGTTTTTTGTTTTTTTTTTTTAATTATATAGGCCATTCTCGTAAGCATCTGTTGATAAGTCATTGTGGTTTTGCTTTATTCTTCCATAGTGATAAGTGATCTTGAACATTTTTGGAATGTGCTGTTGGCTCTCTGTGGAGAAGTGTCTAGCACTTCTGCCCATTTTTCAATGGGTTAAAATTTCTTTTTTGTTAAGTTGCATGAGTTCTTTGTAGATTTGGATATGGCCCCTTGTCTGATTTATGTCATGCAAATATTTTCTCATTTGGCACAGCATCTTTTGTTTTGATGATAGTTTTTCATGGTGCAAAATGCACAATGTAGTCCCATTTGTTATTTTGCTTTTGTTTCCCTTACCGTTAGTCAAGTCCCCCAAATCATCACTTGAATCCAATGATGTGCAGTGTTTTTCCTTTGTTTTCTTCTATGTATTTTATGCTTTCTGGCCTTATATCCATGTGTATCATGTGAGATAGTGGAAATCTTGCCATTTGCAACAGCATGGATGGAACTGGAGTGGGGGGTGTGAAGCTAATACTAGATGTTCTCACTCACATTGGGAATATAAAGAAACAAACCCAAGGAACAGACGAAAAAAAAAAAAAAAAACAGAAATCTGACTATAGAATCGAGGCTATCACAAGGGAGGGATGGAAGATGGGGAAGGGAACATAGAGGATAAGGGGCTCAAGGAACTATGGTGGAGGATGTGCTATCATACATCTGAAGAGGTATGAATGCACATCTCTAACTCATACACAGTGTTGTAAACCAATGGTATCTCAACAAAATTACACAATTAAAAGTTCAAGCCCTTCCTTCTTCATTGAGCAACAGGCAATATGGCTTAGTATCTAGGTATATAAAATCTTTCAACAATAGTAAAGTGATATATTTGTATTATTCTCTCCCCCAGTCTTTGCTGAAGGTAAAAATTAAAATATCCAGTCTTAGCTCATCAGATTTATAATATAGTTTGTATGACTAGGAGCTACAGAGTGTCAGTTGACAGATGGCTCATCACACATGTGGTGATAAAGGAAATACAGACTTCTTTGAACTTGTATCAGCTCAGGTCTGTGGAATTATCACTAGGACGTTCATTGACTTCCCATCTTATCTGAGTCTAGCCAGTTCTTACTCTAATTCAGTGATTTTTCATTGTGCTCACATAGAAACTTTGTTGATGACTCTGAGCACCAGTAAATTTTAAAGGCTCCCCCAAAGTATCATTTAATTGGTTTAAGGTAGGATCCAGAGATCTCAGCTGTGTTTAGTCTATTAGGAATCATTATTCTAAACCCCTTGCCTAGGAAAGTGGTATTCTAAAAACATCCCTGGCCATCCCATGCCTGATTACCACCCTGCTGATGCTTAAAATAGAAGTTTCAAACCCCTAGCATATCCCATAAGCGCCAATCTAACATTTCACTTGTCACCCTCTGTCTCTTCGCCTTCCTGCTTAAAAGCAATGAGTAATCTACAAACAGGTAAGGCTATTTCCCCTGTACCTTGGGACATGCCTTTTCATATTATAAAAAGCTATCCCCTCCCTTATCTCTTCTTTTTATTAGCCTGGATGGACTATAAATTAATTGGTGAGATGAGCACTTTCCTTTCTGTGCTACCTTCATTCCCATGAATTCTCCAATACCAAGATCCAGCATCTCCATCCTTCACTCCAAAAGAATTTGAGTATTTGCTTTCTCTGTACCTTAGAAATAATGCTGTGTTTACATCCCTCAAGAATTACATCTTTATTCTTCTCGAAAAATAGTCTCTGCCCTCAATTAACTCACTAAGTATTTCTCCTTTTATTCTTCTCAGTGTAAAGTACAATAGAAAATACACTGTAAATGTTCAATCTATTTATTTAACTTATTTAAATCCAAGGGATTTATGGATCAATACTATTGTAAAGACTACTTCGTCAAAATCTGGTCTCTGAGGTGTGCAGTAAGCATAAGGCATAATAATCACAACCATCCCCTTCAGGGAATACATGTTATTGCATTTTCATCTGGGAAAGCCTTAAGGTCTTATTCACAATACAATGAATATAGCAAAATAGTGATCTTACAGAAATAGTATGGCAACCTTCCCTCCTCCTTCGCTACCTATTTCCTACCAAATATTTGAGGACAAGAACAGAGTTAGTTCCATTAACAAATCACTCCAGAAATAGTCTAGGAGAGTAATTTCAACAGATCCACAGTGGCTACAAAAGAATAATTTAGTGTCTCATCTAAAATAATTTCTAAATTGGTTATTAATACTCAACTATGATAATTCTTTTTAACATTTAGTTACTTTGCATTTGCAAAGTTGAAACATGTTGGTATTGTTTTCCTCTCATAAATTAAGAAACCTGGGCACAAAGATAAACACACCTAGTGTGCACAATAAAAAAAAAAAAAAGTACAAAACCTGGCTTTGCTTTTGCTGTTGCAGAATGAAAGGATTTCACAGTTGCATATAGGACCATATTGCCTACAGAGTTCTATGTAATTGCTTTACTTATGACACAGAAATCTAATTCTGCTTTCACGCAATTTAA